ATCGTGGATTGATTTGCAATTTGATCTTTCCCTAAAGGTTTTAGGAAAAGTGATGCTTCGATGCTAGTTACTTAGAATATAAATGACAAAATGTAAAACTCGAAGTTTAAGCGGTAATGTTTTATAAGATGTGTGATTTGATCTACCTAATGAGTCAAATGCCAGGATGATATGTAGACATATTAGATATTTTATTAGACAAGAGCTAAAACAATTATACCAGCCACACTACTGAGGAAGATATTGATGGATTTTAAACAGGCATCGATAAATGCTATTTGCATCTAAAATAGAGCATGAATATAAAAATAAGATTTGGACCAAAAGAAGTCTGTGAGTCTAATGATGACCTACGATTATAGCAAGTATTTATCGGCCCTTGGATATGTTCCAGAATCTGAAATTAAAACCTTGGCAGAAATATCTTGAGAAATTAATGGCTTATCTGTTTCTATTGAGAAGACCTATATCCGAAAACAAAAAATCCTAGTAAATATTATATTTTTTGTTATAAATTTTAGGGCAATTAAATAATATTTAGCAGCTCCTCTATATCTAAAATTGTGGAACAAACATAATTATACGTTAAATTGTGTCGCTCGAACAACAAAATGTGTTAAAGGCTGGCATTATGGTATTAAATCCCGTTCTCACCTAATATTTTGGAAGTTTTAAAGAGGGTCATATGAATGAACAAACATAAGGCCCTATATCTTCAAGTAGTAATGGGGAAAACAACGCAACTCTAAGAAAAATATGAAGATATTAAAAAACGAGTCATTGATGTGTTTTAAATTATGGAATATCGGATTTTTTACAATTTAAAAGCGATTGCCCATATTCTGCAATTAAATTTTTAATTTATATTTTATAATTGTGATATATTGATTCATGATTTTATACTAATAAAGAGTAAAAATTAAATTGGCTTATTATATAAGAAAGATATCAAATGACTGAGTGAAGTGTCATTGTAATAAAGTGTCATCTTGATAAATGGCGCCGTGATAATGTGTCATATGATAAAGTGTAGCTTGATAAAGTGTCCCTTGATAAAGTGCTGCGTGATAAAGTGTTTCCAAACCGTATTAATAGATTAAATGAAATATAATTATTAATTTATTACTTTATTATTAAATATATGTAGTAATTTAATTTTTAAAACTTTTTTATAGCATAAGAAAATGTCATATCAATTCATAGAATATATAAAAAATATTTTTAACTAAGCATTTGCAGTATACCTTGACATTTGTAGGTTAGTACTCATAAATAAATATATAAACACTTTTAAATTATTTTAATAACTTCTTTCATTTCTTGTAGCTAGTGTTGTTAAAATAGCGCGCTACTTCAGTAGCGGTAGCTATAGCGCGCTACTTTTAAAAAAAAGCGATAGCGGTAGCTCGCTACTTTCAATTTTACATAATAAATACATCTAAAAATTATGAAAATATATATTTTATAAAATCTAAAATTATAATCCTTTTATTTAATTTAATTTTGAAATTTATATTTATATTTAAAAATATACATTATTGTTATATATATTAGATATAAACAGTTGTTAAATAGCAATCTGTATTTAATTTATATTTCGCGCATTCATTAAATTATATATTTTTGAAATTCCGTTATTGGTATGTCCTTGCTTTTATCTTATTTTATATTTCATTACATTTTATATTAAGCATTATAAATCTTGTTATGTGTGAGATTGTTGAAGATATTGAAATTTCTTTGGAAAATGAGCAAAATATAGATGATCCTTTCCCAAAATTCAAGAAATACTTTAACCTTGAAGAAAAAATTAATACTGGATATCGGTTTCGGTGCAAGATGTGCCGCAAAATTATCTCTTCAAATCATACGAGCAGCTTTAATTTGAAAAAAACATTTAAAGGTAATATATTAAACAAATTTAATATCAATGTATAGGCTAATCTTTAATTTTTAAAATAAATTAAAATCAAAAACCAATCATTTTTTTTATATATTCATAAATTTTATCTAAATTATTTAAAACATTTTAAAATAGTTATTTCAATCATTTTTATGTACTTATCTCCTACATAATTTTTATTCTAAGTATTTTATAATTTTAGACTGTGCACACTTCAAATTATAAAGAGATTGAAAACTATCTCAAAAGTTTTGGGGTAATGGAAGAAGATAAACCCACTTCCAAATCAAATTTAATTCAAACAAAATTAAGCGATTTGGATTCATCAACACCAGGTGTATCTCAAAAATTGACTGACAAAGTCATAATGAACTTTATAATAGATACAGTTCAACCATTATCCTTGGTGGAAAATGATTCTTTTATAAAGATGATAAACACTTTTTCTCCACGGACCAAGATATTTTGCCGGCAGACATTGATGGCAAGAATTTTGGAGAGCTTTAAGGAAATGAAAGAATCTTTGATATTAAATCTATCAGATGTCTCCTACGTCTGTACAACGGCAGATTGCTGGACTCACAATAGAAGGTAAAAATGTTTATTTTCTGATTTATAATATGTCATATTTTTAGAGCTTATTTAGGAGTAACTGCACATTGAATTGATCCTAAAAATCTTAAACGAAAATTTGTAAGCTCTAAAGAGAATAATTGGCTGTCAGACTTATGACATTCTAGTCAATATTATTGCAGAAATCCATAGGTCTTACAAAATTCAAAACAAGGTTTGTAAGATGATTACGGATAAGGGGTCTAATTTCCTGAAGGCCTTCAGGTTTTAAATTTATTATAATTTTTTTATAATATGATATAAATAATATAGAATATTTGGAGAGGATAATAATAATAACAATACTAGTAATATTCCTGACAAAAATATTGAAGATGGAGAACAAGAAGAGGATGATGAAATGGAGTTTGAGATAATTGATGTTCATGACATCCTTGGTTTTAAATTATTTTATATTTAATTTTTCACCAATATAAAACAAAATTTATAATATTTAGGATCTTCAATAAAGTCTTCTATGTTACCTAGCCATCATCGTTGTTCCTGCCACAACCTAAATTTAGTTGCGACAGTGGATGCTGAAGAAGCATTATTACATGAGGATTTTAAAAGAGTATCAAGATCTACATTTTCTAAATGCCAAGCTCTTTGGAATAAACAAAATAAGTCATCAAAGACGTCTGATATTTTCAAAAAAAAATTAGGACGTTATTTATTGACACCAAACACTACAAGATGCAATGCTATGAAACTTTTAGCATTGTTTTTAGATGAGAAAAAAATGGAAATGAATTATATATTGGATCAAATGGGAATACAGTATTTTAATGTGGAGTAGCATACCTTTATTAAAGAATATACTGAAAATTAACCTCTAGATGCTTTTTTTAAATCTAAAAATACTAATCTAAATATTTTTGATGATTTTTTTCATATAAAAAGTTTGTTTATTAAATTTAATACTGCGTTGCCCTCAAGTGCTAGTGCTGAACGATTATTTAGTATGGCAAAGCTTATACTTTCTAATCGTCGATCTAGACTTGGGGATGACAGTACCGAAATGTTATTATTATTAAAGTGCAATAATAAATAAATTATATATATGTAACAAATTATAGTCATGTTTTTATATCAATATTTTATTTGTGGAAATAAAGTTACGTAAAAAAAATATTTAAAAAAAAATCAAAGTAGGGTAAAAAGTAGCTAATAGCACGCTACTCATTTGAAAACGATAGCGGTAGCGATAGCGCGCTACTTTTTTTATAAAATAGCGGTAGCGATAGCGCGCTACTTTTAAAAGTAGCGTTTAACAACACTGCTTGTAGCCCCTCAATTTATTATGGATAATATAACCCAGGTCTCACCTAATAAATATTTTTTAAATGATGAGTTTAATCGAGATCTGCAAAGATTAAAATTTTATTCTCGGCCCGGATTCGGATTTAAATTTTATTTATTTTCATTCATACACCAGCCAGGATTTTTTAAAAAATTTATCTTTAAACCCGGCCAGGAATTTTTTTTATAAATTTTTGACCAGACCGAATTTTTATTTTTGATTATTTTATGACCCGGAATTAATTTTAAAATTACTTTGTCTTCTTAATTTTGGCCATATTTTGCAAATTGTTTTATAGGAAAATAGGAAATAAGATGAATATTGAACACTCCATTATAAGATTTTCCCCATTGATTAATTTAATATATTTATTTTAAAAAATAATTAAAAATTATCTTTTTAATTTTTTAAATTTTTTTAATCCGGCCCAATTTTTAATATTTTTAAGACAAATCCAAATTTTTAAATATATTGGCGGGTGCAAGGCCTGCAGGTCAATAACCATAAATTAAATATTTGGGCAAAAAATGCATTCAGGCTGGCCTTCAAAAATGGGGTCTAAAACTATCCAATAAAATTTATGGTGATAAAATCCACCCAATAATCTTCCCCTATTTTTTTACAATTCACAACATTCTATTATTTCCTGGGGGGGGGGGTATATTTTTAAGGTTTTCTTCCGTTTTCAGTGTGGTTTCTTTCGATATTTTATTCCATGAGGGTTTTTTTTCGTTCAGGGTTTTGTCCAGGAGTCGTTAATAGTTACAAAAATCTGTATGATTCGAAATCAATCAAAATATTAATTTTTTATTTTTTACAAAATACAAATATACCATACATGTTTAAAGCAAAAATATTAATATTTTTATCATTTTTTCTGAATAACACATTATTATTTGGTGGGGATTTACTATGTTATTTTATGAAATTGAAGGCCATTTTTTGATTTACCTGTCATTCTTTGACAGACTATTTTCTATTCAAATCTCATTTTCAAACAATAAGAGCATTTAATTAATGACTTCTTTGCCATAAATTAATATAATCCTCATTTATGACATCCATTTTACAGAGTTACAAAAAACAATCGATCAGTTTAAAATTTATAAAGTTTGAATTTCTATTAAATATAATATATTATAATGTTATATTTTGCAGTTTTATTATAGATAAGGATAATACCGAGACTTTGATTGCGCATGTTCATCACCCAACTCGTGGAGGAGCATAATAATCCATGCTGTAAAAATACCACCAGCGGATTTTTTCTTGATGAATTAAAAATATTTCCACCAGGAATTCTTTGTAAGCTTAATATAAAACCATCTTCCGTTGTTACCGTATGATCTTGACACGGGTAACCATAGTATTTGATAATTTCACTCTACAATAATGTTAATTAAGTTTAAATTTGGATTTGGTGACACTTTATTATGCGACACTTTATCACTCACCCTTTATCATCCGACACTTTATCATGCAACACTTCATCAAGCGACACTTTATAACGACGTCATATCATGATTTATTTTAACATTGAATTTTATTTATTTGAAATTTAAGCTTTATATGTGATAATTTTTACTTTTCCGTTTTAATTTCGATGTTTGAAAATATTTTTTTTGCCAAATTTATTTTTAAAAAATATGTATTTATTTATTAAAAAAATTGTACACTGTGCTTTTTTAGCAATAAATCTGTCAATTCTATAAATAATTTAATAAAATTTTATATATTGAGAGAAGGATTTATTTGAGATTACATCAAATTCTATTAATAAGGTTCAAAGTTAGGCACAGAACTTTTCATGGTGTAAAAATTTATTTTTTACTTTAAACTTAAGGAGTTGATAATAAAAAAAATTGTTTTTTTAGTAAAATTGATTTAAATTTTATTAAATTTCAAAACAATAAAAACATTAAGGACCAAAAGGTTTTGATGGAATTTCCTAATAGTAATGGTCCATCACAGCATAAAATCGATTGATTGCAAAGAATGATGCTATCGGATCAGCAGAAAAACGGATGTTGATTTTGAAACATTCGTATTGAGTCAAGAAGACCGCCCTGACACCCATAGAACGATTCGTCAAGTATCCCAATAAGCTGGTAATTCGTAAACTTCAGAGCATCAGATTATCACACAAAGCTGCAGCTGAAATGTTTAAAAAATAAACAAGCCCTGGACCAACCCGATGCAAATAGGATTGCCCGTCTGGCACGTATCAAACAACTTCTAAAATACTCTCAGAGATTAGTTCATTTTATATGGCTCACGGATGAAGCTGTTTACAGTAACTCCACCCAGTATATCTGCAAAATGATATGGTTTGCAACTTCAATGAGAAAAAACAAGTTGTAGCTGATCGATTGCTTGCTACTCGTTCAAATTCTAAATCCGTCATGGTTTCAGTCGGGTTATCAAGTCTTGGTGGCACAGAGCTTTTAATCTATCCAGGAGTCAAAATTGTATACTATCGTGACGCTTCTCTGTGAGCGCTTATTGCCTTTTATTAAGAATTGTCGGACAATTGTTTTTCATTTTCAGCAGGACATCTAGCTCACCAAGCCAAAAAAACTGTAGATCTGTTTTCAAGAGAAACTCCAGATTTTATTTCACTCACTCTTTGACCCCATAATAGCCTTGATCCGAATCCGGTCGGTCCTTCAAGAACGTGTTTATCAAACCCGCATACGCAATATTAACCATATCAAACAGCAACTTGGAGAGTAATGGAATCGTTTAACCAAGAAACTGTTGATTGTGCAATCAATTAATGACGAGATAGCTTTAGAGTATTTATTCGAGTTAATGAGGGGCATTTTGTACATCACCTTTAAAGTACAACATTTGACTAAAATTAATTTTAAATGTTCATGTTTTCATGTTTTTGTCTTATTGTAAAATTTAATTAAAGATTTTTAAAAAATAGTTATAATTTTGTTAATCCAACTTAGAATGTGCATAATATTGGACCCTATTAATTGAATTTAGTAGAATTTGCAGAAAACATTGATGAAATATTCTTCTCAATCTATAAATAAATTGAATTATTATTAAAATTGATAAATTTATTGATAAAACAAAAAGGATATTAGTTCAATTGAAACACAAAGTGTTATAGAGTATAAAATAGTAAAATATAAAAATCTACATGACAAAAATTTAAAAAAATATGAATAAAAATCTATAAAATATAAATATAAAGAATTAAAAATATTCTAGAGGCATAGATGTGTGAACGGATATGCAATCGGATCTACATATTTCAAAAGATATTCTCTACCTGAGATAAAGATTTTCCTTGGCGAAGACATAAGAGTTTTATTTCCTAGAGTAGTGTTGCTTTAATGCCAAAGTTGCCTAGGGTGGTAGTGACAAAAGTAAAATATGACATTTTCTAAAAAAGAATGTTTGAAGCGTTTCAAAATTTTGAAGTCCGTGATTGAAGTGATGTGTTGATTTGAGTTAGCGAGTATATACAGGTATAGCCCCAAACTAAAGATAGTCCTCTAATCCAAGGAGTGGAAATTATACCATCTGAACGTTTGTTTTCTAAGGTATTGAGTCCTACACGTTCTAGCGTTGATTGAATGAGCGTAATAGATAGGATCTTTTGTATGAGAACATTTATTGAAAGATGACACGAATGTCTGACTTTTTAATATCTGTAATATAATGAATGGATCAACTTGGATCTTGTGTTGAGATGGAGGCCAATTGAGATCTGTAGTTCTTCTGTGGATAGATAAGTGTCAAGATTTTTACTTAATTGTCATTTTGTCTTATAACATAAGCAATAAGATGATTTAATTTTTACCCTTTATTAATATGTAATCACAAATCAATATATCACAAATATAAAATATAAATGCAAGAAATATGGGCATTCGCTTTAAAAATAGAAAGAATCCGAAATTCCATATTTTAAACACATCAATGAACTCGTTTTTTTAATATCTTCATTTATCTTTGAGAGGTACGGTGTTTCCCCATTACGCCTTGAAAATATAGGACCTTATGTTTGTGCATATTATCTATGACCCCCTTTAAAAATTTTCAAAACTTCCTGAGTAAACATTGGCATAGGGATTCCAAATGCAGCCTTCAACACAATTTGTTGTTCAGACGACACCATCTAACGTATAATTAATTTTGTTGTTCTACAATTTTTCATTAGAGAGAAGGAGCTGCAAAATTATTTTGTTGTTCTATAATTTATAACAAAATTTTTACTAGGATTTCTTCGAATATGGGTCTTCTCAATAGGAAATATGCTGAGTCTTTAATTTCTTCCAATATTTCTGCTAAAATTTCAAGTGCATTTCCAAGATCAACTTTAAGACACAAGGGTTAATCTAAAGTCATCATTAGACTCATAGACTTCTTTTAGTCCCAAATTTATTTTTCTATTCACTTTATAGATGGAAATAACATTTATCGGTGCCTGTTCAAAATCTACCAATTTCTTTCCCGAAAGTGCAGCAGGTAATAATTGTTTTAACTCCTAAAATTTAAATTATATTATATTATAATATGTTTACGTCTATTATCCTTGCATACTCATTCGCCAAATCAAATCAACACATCTTATTAATCATGGCCGCCGAAACTTCAAGTTTTACGTTTTGTCGCTTATATTCTAGGTAACTTTAGCAATGAAGCATCACTTTTCCTGAAACTTTAGAAAATTCTTGTATATCTTCGGCGATCCCTGGAAATATCTTTATCTTTAGATCTAATTGCATATCGATTCACGGATTTATGCCTCTATAAAATTTTTAACTTTTTATAATTCTTTATATTTACATTTTAAAGATTTTTAATCATTTTTTTTTTAATTTTAATATTTTTTCAATTTTCGTCTTTATATATTGCTATTTTAATTAATTTACTTTATATATTTTTTTAATTTAAAAATCTTTTAGAATAATAAAAAAAATATAAATTTTTTTAGTTTAATAAATAAATTAAATCGCGTGATTAAAGTGTAGGATGAGAAAATGTTGCGTGATAAATCGCTTGATAAAGTATCGCTTGATAAAATGTTGCGTGACAAAGTTTGGCGTTATCAAATGACTGAATGATAAAGTGTCGTTGTGATAAAATGTCGCCATGATAAAGTGTCGCTAGACAAAAAATCTGATAGGAAATTTGTGTATTTAATTTTTTTATAAAAGTATGAGAAAAACTAAAGCAAAAACAAGTTCCCTAAAAATCATTTATTTATTTTGGATTTAAATTAAAAATTGTAAAAAAAGGTTTTCTTTTGAAAATGTTTGGCAACGATTCATATCTTATCACCAATAGTTCCTTAACTATGGACTATATGCGGCTTGGGGCCTAGATTAAATTTGCCTTCGATTAAATTCTAAAAAAATTGGTAAATTTAAAACATATTATTTAATTTCATCGTCTTCCCTTTATGTCATCTAACTAAGCAGAGGTAGTAAAATATAATAAGGCATTATGATGGCTAAAAAGATTACACTTACCTTTGCCTTGTCTACCCTATTGGGTTAAGGCACTTCATCGGTATTAATAAAGCACGAAATATTGGCAACAATTATAGAAAACTCTTTTGCACACGCAGAGATGCCTAAACGAGTTTATGATTTTGGTTTCGATTTTTTATTATTTTAAAAGCAGATACGTTATGAGAGGTAAAAAATTTTTTTAATATTTTTATTGCTCTCGTGAAATTAAAGATTTATAGTATTCTCTTTAATTTATTTATAGGGAGGAAAGTGGGAGGGGGGGGGGGTTTAATGACATTCTTGCGATCACTTTTTATCTCCTAAGCTTTATCTTGATTGATGTTTCTTTACAATTTTCTCTACTTTTTTTGAAGTAATTTCTTTAAAACTTAATAGCCAGCCCATAAGAGGTCAAAATTGTATCTTTTATTGCTCTGATTCCATCTTTATTTATTTAGGGTTTCAACCAGGCTGCTCAAACAGATGTGTATCACGATTCAGTTCCATTCCGATTCTTAGTTCAACATTTTTAAACCATTTCGGTTATTTTGAACTAATTTATGCCTTTCATTTAATTTTAGAAATTCTCAAATCTTTTCGATTCGTTTTACATAATTTTTGAAATTTTTAAGATTACTCATAATATTATTTAATTGACCCTTATTAATCTAAAAAAAATAGTTCAAAAACTTTTAATTTAAGTTGAATTTCCTTATTTTATTATAAAACAGGCATAGGAAATAACAAATTAAATATAACACAGTCACATATAAATTTGTCAAATTTTTTTATAATATTTTAAAATAACTAATCATTTTTTTTAAATATTTTAATTTATATTAGAGATCTGCAAAAGTAGGTACAGCCCGAACTGGCATCACGCCGGGCCGGGTCTATTTTTTAATAA